GCTGGGGACACTGCCTGTCTTGTGCGTGAGGAATACTGTGGTGAGGATGAAATGCTTTGGTATTAATGGGGGTTCAGCTTCTGAGGACTGGGCAGTATTGTCAGGGCTTCTGAAAGTGTTGCAGAAGCCCAAGAGGTATGACAGGATGGCAGGAAAAATAACAAGTGATCAAGTGTGTGGGAAAATTCTCATAGGAAGAAAGCAGGGGAAGTCAGGAGTTGTAAACATTGTAAAGGACATAGAAGGGGAAGCAGTTTAATTTTCTGAAGGACTAGGTGATTCTGATGGTTTGTAGAGAAGTCATCTTCTCACAGACTTGCAAGAACCAAGTGCAGTTAAAAGATGGGAAATGAAAACCTTGTGGGAGGAATATTTTCCTATGACATGCTAAGAAATTTACTGCTATGGGCAAGAACTTGTGATACTCAGAAGGGACCTGAGACTTATGTGCAGAACAAGCCCATGGTTGTTATCACAGTTCTAGAAAACCTTGGAAGAAAACCTCAGGCTTTTGGTATAAGCCAGCCTTTGAGATTGGCATCAGATCCTGGGGGTTGGACAGGCTGCTTTACATTTGCAGGCAAGGATTCTACACCTGGTTTGGAAAACCTTTGTGCTTGCTGCAGTTAGTGGGAAGCAGGGACCTCCAGCCTTATTTAATAAGGCCTTCTCTATGTTTCTTTGACACTAGGTGTGCTTTACAGATACTGTGATTACAAGACCTGTATTTCTTGAATTAGAACATGAAATTGAAGCAGGAGGCTAAAACTCCTTGTGCTCAAACCCTTTATTATTAAAGAATATTCCCCAATGACTTTGTCTCATTGCTTCTCACGTGGGAAGTTTGCCAGCCCTTTTGAGAAAAGTCCACTTTTTATAAGCACTCCAGTGCTGGTAGCTGGCTATTGAATAGTTAAGGGTATGGTTAAGGATGTAATGTATTGCATCCAAACTGGAAAGGTTAGGAAGCCAAGAGATTTTCCCTACTGGAAATAAACCTTTGGCTGTGTAAGTGTGTGCATTGAAACAGGATGGAGGTATCATGGCGTTGCTTTCTCCTAGGATCTGTAAGAATGTTACAGTTGCATGCATCTCTATTAAGTAGTATGCAATCATTTATGAAAGAAAGGCGATTTTGCATGTTCTGTGCTCACTTTCCTCTAGGAAGGTATATCCCATTCCTTTTTACTAACTAAAGAGGTGCTTTATTATAAAACTCAAGCATAAACTGCTTTCAGTGTTATACTCGCAGTGTACAGGATACAGGAGTCACATTTGTGGCGTATGTTCTGTTTAGCAGCTGGATGAAATTAATTGTTTCATGTGAAATGTTGGAGGACTCTGCATCTTCATATCAAGGCCAGAAGCAGCTTGGTGCCTGAAGACTTTTCAGCATCTTACGCAATGCCACTAAGTGCTTCTTCTCATTGATCTGCAACTTTCTTGTTGCCAATTAAATCCATTTGAAGGCAGAAGATAAATATTATTAACAGGAGGGAGCAAAATCTTTTGCCCTGACTTTCTTCTCTGTTTTATGAGGAAGTACAAAGTGTGTCACAAGTCTTGTTAGTTGGTTGTACTAATACCTGCTTTACTGTGGAATAATTGGTCTTAGCAGATGACAGTGGCCATGCTTGGGAATGCGTGGTTTTGATTTGCATAATCAGATACTTTGGTGGTGTCCTCGAAAATTGGAATGAAAGCTGGCTGGAAAATTGTTTCAGCAAATCATGTGTATCCAATGCAGCAGATGAATTGCTCTGGGGGCCTTTATGATACGTGTTGGCTGGTGAACCCAACAACCTCCTGCATCCGCTGCAGTAATGGTTTCTGTCATCTGCCTTTATTTATCCCAAAGTTCCATTGACCAATGTCTAATCAATATGAAATGTACAATCGGGTCTTAAATCTGATTAATTATTTCAAGCCTTGTAAAATGCCGGTTGAAGTGTATCTCCCAGGGCCGGGGCTCAGCAGGGGCTTTCTGCATTCCATTGACCTCAGAGAAGTAAGGGCAAGTTGTATTGGTTGTGACAGTTGGCACCAACTGCCCACTAACCATGTTAAAAATGGGGGAAATAGTGGTTATATTTTTTGAAAGCTCTCATTTTTTATCTTGCATTAAGAAGTTTGCAGAAAATTCTAGTTGGGCAGAGGTAATATTGTCAAGAGAAGAGTTAAACTTGCTACAGTATTAAAATCAATGCTGTTTTTAAATTACATAGCATTATCCCAAAGATAATGCTGCAAAATATTGAAGACTCCTGTAATGAGTCTGCACTTGGAGGTGTTACATGGAGGTGTCTGGGAGTCCTGCATCTTGAGAGATCCCCAAGCTGTGTGTGTTCAGTGAAAAATAAAGGAATTTGGGGGTTAAGACAGATAAAGCGGCAAAGACGGGAAAGGAGGATAATGGAAGTTGCAAGTCCTGTTTTTATGAGACAAGCTTCCATAGAATCCCAGACTGGTTTGGGTTGCAAGGGACTTTAAAGCCCATCCAGTTCCAACCCCCTGCCACTAGCAGGGACACCTTCCACTGGAGCAGCTTGCTCCAAGCCCCTGTGACCAACCTGGCCTTGAACGCTGCCAGGGATGGGGCAGCCACAGCTTCTCTGGGCACCCTGTGCCAGCGCCTCAGCACCCTCACAGGGAAGAGCTTCTGCCTAAGAGCTCATCTCAGTCTCCTCTCTGGCAGGTTAAAGCCGTTCCCTCTTGTCCTGTCTCTGCAGGCCCTTGTCCAAAGCCACTCTCCAAGTTTCTCCTCAGTCCTTAGACAGCATCAAACTATGGCTTTATTCCTTTTTCAGTAAAAAGATTGATGGCTGCTGAGTGCAGTATCAACCCAGTGGATAAGGGAAGCCTCTGTCAGCACAGAGTTACATCACAGTTACTGGTCTTTGGAGTTCTAATGGAGTCATTGCACTTGATCCAAAATAGAGGATGGAGACTGCCATAAAATAAAGTTGCTTGCTTGCTTTCTTCTTCAGCTGGAAGCTGGAGGTGAATTCCCATGATGGATCACCAAGCTTGAAAAGCTGTGTAACTGGGTTCTCTGTGTCATAGTGATGTGAAAGGTTTTTTTATCCCTTAGTTTTAATACTGAGCTTGTCAGTCAACATTCAGAGATGCGATGTGCGAAGACATACTGGTAGGAGAGGAGTAATCTTGTATGTATGACCTTGAAGTAGTGTTGATGAAGTTGTTGAGCCCTCCTTATGAAACATGTAATTGGTAGTGTTCATCACTGATGTGGGATTTCACCTCCCTAAATAGATACTGTGAGATGAAGGACTCTTTCTGATTCATGTATCATAATTATCAGCCATGTGGGGATGCATGTACCAGGCATTCTGGGGTTAGAGACTTCTGCACATCTGGCACTGTTTGGGGTATAGCATAGGTGCAGATAGAGAGAGGGAGAGGCTGCACACATTGTGTTTGATGTTTGGAATAACATTATCTACTAAACACAGCATTTTCTAAGCTGTGGACTAACAGGGACAGTACTTAAGGGGAGATGTAATGAAGATGTATGCAGCAGCAGCAAAGAACACCCAGGAGACACTGGGATTCATAGCCCTTTTCTCCAGGGGAGGAGGAGCGATGGCATGAGGAGCAAACTCCCCACAGAGACATGTGCAGAATAAATGTTACACACATGAGAGACATGAAAAACATCAAATGAAAAGCTGTAATGAATGCACAGAGTGCAGGGTGGTCCCCATAGTATCACCTCTGTGGGCTGTTCAGCCCATCTCCTGTGTTCATCTTGTGGGGATTTCTGATGACAAGGCTGAGCCCTCAAAGCCTCATTATGATGCCTTTCTGACAGACAAGAAATAGGAATATCGTAACTTGTACATCTTTAAGGTGTAGGGACACAGATCCACCTATTCCTGAACAAACTGCTGCTCATTTCCTTCCTCCTTGGGGACCTGCCTTAACACATGTGGTGATCACACTGGCGAACTTTCAGTAATGCTTACTCAGATGGGATTGATCCAAAGAATTAATGCAAATGGAGTTTCCTTTATTTAGAACCTGCAATTTAATTGCAGTGAGATAGACCTTGGGTATACAGCAGAGTAATTCTTTTTATTTCTCTGGAGTCCCACTTTGCCCCCGTAGTCTTCTGATCCAAATTCATGGAGAAGCCTCTGTGCCTGGTACAGACTGGTACACTCCAGAAGTGACTTTTTTCTTCTGTTCAATTGACAGCCCAGGCACTGGAGTGAATGTATCATAGTAGATAGGGATAAAGGGATGCTCCTAGAAGATGAGCAGCTCTCCAAGTGGAAAACACGTGAATCCTGGCTTCGTGTGGATCTCTGCCCCTTGCCCTGCAGTGCTTTGTGCTTCCATGATTCAACAGATCATTTCAGTGGTGTTTATGTGATCATTTAAGGACTGATTTTGCCAAATACACATACAGATGTTATTACCTATGCTATGATATTACCTATGGGAATCCATCATCACTGTTCATGGCCTTGGAACATGGAATCATGCAATTATTATGCAAATCTGAGTTTTCTTTAAAATCTATGAAGCTCTTGCATGGTTGTAGGGCAAGTTGGGAAATGGATCCATAGGAGAGCAGACCCAGGAGGCAAGTGGGGAGGACCTGGTGTGTATTGTGCCACAGAGACAGACCAAAGCAAAGCACAACCCTCCTGGTATTTTCCTGCAGGCAGAGGTGGGGATTTTGGGGAGGTTCTGCCTCAAGAGTTTGAACCACTGCACTGTGCTTGCTTTTTTATATATTAATGAAGACAGCCAGAAACTTCCTCCTTATGTTAAAATAGAAGTATTAGGAGAAGGACTTGAGGATTAGGGAAGCTGCTGGAAGTGAGTTTGGATTTGATTTGGTCTCACGTTGTCACAGTCCTTGATGAAAACAACATGGAGCTGCCCAGAGTGCACCTCTGGCACACCACTTAGTTCGGTTTTGCCCATTTTGTTGCTCATGTGACTGTTTTCTCTCTCTTCTGTTGTTGCAGATAAAGAGTTAGGAGTCAGTGCGCTAACTGAAAATGACGACCCTGGTGCTAGGGCCCCAGCTGTCCCGAAAATATCAGGATTAGAAAGGAGCCAAGAGAAGAGCCAGGACAGCAGCAAAGACCCAATACTTGAGCCTGTGGTGCCTAAAGACCCTTGTCCTCAGGTGAGCCAGCCTCTGGCCCAGCCACAGTTGGAGCCGCAGCCCGAGGCACCGTGCCCCAGCCCCGCGCTGGCCCCGCGGCCAGAGGCTCCTGCCCCGCCAGTGCCGGTGCCGCAGCCGCCAGTGCCGGAGGAAGCCACGCGCCCGCCAGTGCCGCAGCCGCCAGCACAGCACCCACCACGGCCACAGTCACCGGTGCAGCCAGCGCACCCCAACCTGCCCCCGGTGCAGCCACATCCGGCCTCGCAGAGCCTCTCACAGCCACTCTCTGCCTATAACAGCAGCAGTTTAAGCCTCAACAGCTTAAGGTAGGTGAACGGAACCACGAGCGCACTGATGCCCATGCTGATTTGCTGTTTGGTGGTGATCACAGAATCATACAATGGTTTGGGTTGGAAGGACCTCAAGATCATTTGGTTCCAACACCCTGCTATGGGCAGGGACATATTCCGCTAGGCCAGGTTGCTCAAAGACCCCTCCAAGTTGGCCTTGAAGACTTCCATTTCTCCAACTACAGACATACCCTGGAGTGAGAAGTACGGCACAGCTGCTGTTTGCCTGGTGACAGCCTGGCACAGACCGTCTCACCCCAATGACTTTAAAGCTGAATTTTTTCCTCACTGCTGACACTTTGCAGTCTCCAGCATTTTTCTCTTCACATGGCCACAGTGAGATAAACCTCAGCTTTTATTGGGGGGGTGACAGAGTTGATCAGAGAGGCTAAGCCACGAGTTCATAGGAGCCCGTGAGGCCTGTGAGAAGGGACCTGAGCTCTCCCTTACCCTAAGTTAATGCTGCCAGCACAAGGTTGTCTTTCCCCAAATCCCACAGGCAGCTTGTGCATTTTCGAGACCTGGTGAACCAGCATTATGGTTGCTTCATGGTTTCACTGAAGACTGGGAGGTGTTTAAGACTTTGATTTATTTTTAACCAAGTTGGTATTGCTTGTCTTTCAAAATCACTGCAATAGCAGCATGTTGTTACTTGAAATAATGACAAGTAGAATTAAGCATTAGGTGAATATATTTTAAATACTCATTAGTAGGATGTGAAACCTGAAGAATTGCAACCAGTGTAATCACAAATACTTTGCTGACTTGTCTTATCTCTGTCTATTGTGGAGGTAGAGAGGCATTATCTGCACAAGAAGCTTGTATCCATTTACCTTCTCAGCTTTGTTTCACATTCTCTGCAGTCTTTCATCTTACTAAGTCATAGGGAAAAAAAAATTAAACCTATATTAATGCAGTGATCACTGATTTTGAGCTTCATTTGCCTGAAAACATGAATCAGAAGCAGTCATGTAGAAAGGACCTGATAATTAAGTAATGAATGCAGAGGGATGATTACTCCTTTGTGTATCATTCCTGTGTTGGTGGAGGACAGAATATCAACCTCTTACAGCGGAGGAGAGTGTAACTTGGGTTTCAGTGTGGAGAGACCATAGGAAGTAAAAGCAGATGGTTAGAGAAAGGAGTATCTCAGTGGTATTGCTAGAAAAGTAGAAGAGCAACTTGAATTTGTAATATATAACTGACATTTGTAATATATAACTGACATTAGTAATGTGTTAACATGAGCTGGGCATAGCCTGGTGGGGTTGTAGATGTGTATATTTGGAGCTTTTCCCTCTTCCATGCAATGCTTAATTGCTTTTCCTCTCATTAACAGCAGCAGCAGAAGCAGCACTCCTGCCAAGACTCAGGCCCCTCCTCCTCACATCTCCCACCACCCCTCAGCATCACCGTTCCCCCTGTCTCTGCCCAGCCACAGCCCCCTGCACACCTTCACACCCACCCTGCAGCCCCCCGCGCACCCTCATCACCCCAATATGTTTGCCCCTCCTACGGCCCTGCCTCCTCCACCACCACTGACATCGGGGACGCTGCAGGTTCCAGGACACCCTGCTGGGAGCACTTACTCAGGTGAGAGATGGGCAGATCACGCTCTGAGTGGGAAACCAGTTCTCTGGGTTTAGTCAGAATAAGTCAGTTTGGGCCATTTGATGAGGGCAGTTGATTGGGTGGAGGCTGTACCCATTGCTGAATGGTTTGGAGAGATATCAAAGCTAAGGAACACCTACACATACCCCAAGACATTTCTTCTGCCCTGGGAATTAATATTTTTGGAGGGCTGTGGCTTTTCCATGTGTGTTTTCTTTCTCCCCATGGTAAGAACACACTAGAGTTCATAATGTGCCCACAGAGGATCTGTGACTCCCTTAGCGAACTTCTTCACTGCGGTTGTGGTCTGCAGTTAGCATTGCTTCCCTGCCTAGAGGGAAGGTCTCCTGTGGCTGTGCACACAGTGGTCCTAAGCTCGTGTACGTGCAGGATTTGGGGGTGAGATGCAGAGATTTTTATCGGTGGAGAAAATTGTGCTCTTCTGTACTTTGATTGTGGGAGATGTAAAATGGTCTGCTTCTCCCAGGTCACTGAAAGGGAGCTAAGGGAAGAAAATGGAGCATTACTCACATTAGCAGTAATCACCTGATGTTTACTCACTCAAGCTCCTCACCTGTTTAGGACTATGCCCGTATTTAGGGAGAACCCTTAGGTTAATGCTCAGAGGAATGCCGTAGTGAAGACAGACGTGGTGAGAGAAGGGAAATGGAGGCATTCTTCTGCCTCTCAGGCCTTTGGGGAAGATCCAAGGGAGCTTTTTTTCCCCCTGTGCAGTGACATAATTTACCACCAGGAAGCTTTACACACAGCGTTGCTACTGCAGCCAGCAAACAGTAAGTGGCACAAGGTCTTTGAGAGTCCCTGAGTAAAACTGAGTTTTACTGTTTGTGTTCCAGAACAAGACCTCCTCCGTCAGGAACTAAACACGCGCTTTCTGGCCTCGCAGAGCGCAGACCGCGGGGCCTCACTGGGCCCACCACCGTACCTGAGGACCGAGTTCCACCAACACCAGCACCAGCACCAGCACACACACCAACACACACACCAGCACACCTTCACGCCTTTCCCGCACGCCATCCCACCCACTGCCATCATGCCGACGCCAGCACCACCCATGGTGCGTACCCCAGGCAGAAATGTGAGGATAAGTAGAGCACAACTCTATTCTTTATTACAAACGTTTCAGATTTGCCAGGTTGTTGGGACAGGAGGATGCTGCTGCCCAGGTGTGATTGGGCAGGAGAAGGGCTGGCTGTCCCTTCATTACGGTAGGTTCAGGGGCAGCACAGGGGCTAAAACAGCAGTCATGCTTGGGGCTTGCCAGCGCTTCAGAGTGATGCACTCTGGTGCCTCCCTCTCCCTGTCTCATAAAGACCTTGGTTTACTTTGAAGAAAGAAAAATCCCCAACAGTTTCATTGGAAACTTAATTTTCTGCTTATTTTTACCTCTCTATTGGTTGCCAAATAGAGAAGTAGTCTTTTATTTTACCAACAGAACTAAAGCAAGGAAATATAAAGTAACTAGTTTGTGCTTTGATCCCTTTGCAGTTTGACAAATACCCTACAAAAGTTGACCCCTTCTACCGTCACAGTGTGAGTTTTATTACTCTGTTAAAACTGACTTAACTGCTTTTTTTGTGGTGGGTTGGGATCACCACTCAGTCAGCAGCACAGTGTCGAATCTCTCCCTAATCATCACTCCAGGATTTACCATTACTGTTCTTGGTCGCTTTGGCTTTTGAAGGCTTGCGTTCATGGTGCTTGTTTCTGATAAAGATGCAGTATCAGCTTTTCCAATCAAAAGATCTCTTGCTCATGTACCATTTGAAGACAGGTTTGATGTGAAAAAGATGAGGCAGAAGAGCTGACTGTTACATGAAGCAGGATAGAGCAGTAATTTCATCATGGTCTTTCAGTTGTGCCACAAACCCTTAGACTGATCTTCTTCCTAAGAAACTTGAAATGACAATCTATCATACAAATCCCTCAGGGATAGGTAATCTAATCGTTTTCCTAATATATCATATTTTGTTTTATAAAATCTGAAAACTTGTCGTATTCTTCAGATTTCAAAGGCACATCTGATCCACTGGCTTATGTTCCCGAAAGCTCTGTTTGATGAAAGCAACATGAATCCAGCTAAGCACTAGACAAGTTTATCTAAGAGCTACCAAAAAATGCTATGTTTTAAGATGAACTGAATTTTAATATTCCAGTTAATTGCCAAGCTTCTGCTCTTGAGAATTTGAATCTACTGATTCATTTGCTGCTGAAATATGGGTTGCATTTCCTTCATATGATTGGCAGAGCCAGGGATCTGGTTGCATATGACAAGAATGTCTACATCCAATAGCGATATTTTGATGAGAGAAGGTGTACTGCATCAGCACTCAGAAATCTGCAAAGCACTTGGCTTTATGTGTTGGTTTTGCTTAGAAGTGGAACTGGGCAAACAAAACTGGTTAAAATGATAGCATGATGCTTTCTGCTGTCCTCATTCAACACAGTTCCTACTAAAAACTTATCCCTGTAGTACATGTGAGTAGTCCTATTAATTTCTGATACCTCATTCGAGTAACTTTAACTGTGTTGTTTGCAGGATCAGAGCTCTAGGAGTATTAGGCAAACGTTTCAGTCTGTGCTAACCACTTTTGCTCAAAAGGGTAATACTGCTCATTTGCATTGTTGTTTGCAAAACTACACACTTGCTGAGCTTTACATGGATTCAACAAGATCATCCATGTGTCATGTTGATTTAAGTAAGAACATGGTCATGGGAAATAGGTAAATGGATTTTAGACAAATGAAGCACAGACATTGACATGAAATCTAGGAAACATTGCTAAAGTCTTTGACTATATATGCTTTTCACATTCAGTGACAGAATCTCTTACAAATCTGGCAGCTACCTGAATTGTAAAGGTCATGGTATTACCCCTTTAAAACTAGAAAAGGCTTCATGTTGTTCTCTGTTAGCCGGTGAGCCATGAACTTGGCAAAGATCCTTTCCATTGTGTCTCCCCTGCCTTTCCTTCAGGAAAGGTTTGTCCTTGCAAAGTGCTTGCAAAATATTCACTATTGCGTTTTATGGATATGTAGCAAGCTAATACCAGAAGATCAATGTGATAGCTACAGGCTACCTTGGATTAAGTCTGTCTTAAACTACAGCAGAGCCATACTAGCCAGGGTATGTCAGTAACCTCTTCTGGTCTGACCACAGATTCGATAAGTAACAGGAACTGCTTGCAGCAGTGTCCTGAGCAGCTGCAGTGTCAAAAATCACACTTTCAGTGGCATCCACACCACAAATTCAGACACTTCAAAAAATCTGGCAATGTTTTTAAAGTGAACTTTGTAGAACAAGGTCTGTTTGAGAGTTAATTTACTTCAGAACAGGGAATGCAGCTCACAGAGAAGCTGCTGTAGAGTTATAAACCAGTTTTCTTCCTTGGTGTCTTTGATTTTCAGTTGTTTCTCCTGGAGGGGGGCTTACTGTAGCGCAGTGAGGCATTACTTTTATCTACAGTTGATGCCAGGTGTAGTTTTACACTAAAATGCACTGGGCCATATGAAAGCTGTGGTTACTGCATTGTGCCCTGAAGAAAGTTAGAAGGGAAAAATGCTGCTCAAAGAAGAAGGGATGCTGGGGAGAAAGGGAACACTGACTGTGAAAGATGTCTTTGGAAAGCTGGAGGAATTGAACTGATACAGAGAGATCCTGGAGATCCCATATTTATATTTTATTAATAATTCTGACCTTGAGAAAAGGTGATGTTTGATTAACTCACCAGTTGCTATAAAACTCCAAGGAAAGCATTCCTCATTATTTGTCATAGCCAATAGAATAGTCAATATTGTATCTCTTCCCGTCATTTGGAATTAGTCCATTACACACAGAATTAAGCGTAGAAGATCTGGAGGATTTAAAGCACATTTTACTCATTAGAAGTTATTGTAAATGAGGACATGTGTCTCTTAATGATTTCTCAAATGCCTACAGTTCAGTATCAGCTAATCTCAAAATGTTTTCTGCATCATTGAATGGAGCAGGTCCAAATTAAATAGAATTAAGAACAACAATAGAAATGTGAATGGAAGGAGACTCGATACCATGCTTTTAAACAGTGAAAAGCTTTAGGTATCTCTAAAATACTGAAATAGTTTTTTCAGCCTTCAGTAAACATAATATGAAACTGAGCTTGCAAGATAAGCAAGTGGAAAGAAAAATGTGTAGAAAAAGCCTGGCATAAACAAATTCATCAGAACTTTATGATACAGATTTACCCTGGGATGTGATTTTCCCAGTGTTTGCCCACTCCACATGGCCAGTCTTTGCCCAGTCCTGCTTCTGTTCAGTTGGCCATTAACTCATTTATTTTGATCTTAAAAGTAGCCTACAGTAGATTGCTTTTTGGTCAGCTGTGTTGAGAGGTGAATTTTGATTGGCCAGAGAACCACATTAGGTTTTTGGGTGGCAGTACCAGTGGAGTTAGTAGCCATTCCCTCTTAGATCCTGAGCCTTCACAGTGAGCACGTCTTTGGAGTGTGATGCTCTGAGCCCCCAAGACAGCAATTTTGTGTGTAACCTCAGCATTTTCCCTGGAATTGGGCAAGGTAACTGTTACACCATGAGTATGATTTGCAGCTGGACCATGGGGACAAGATATGGTTTGATGTTCAGGTTTACTTGCTTGTTTCCCTTGTGTTTCTCTGCATTAGTACTGAAGAGCTGGTCGGGTTTTTGTCTAAATTCTCTTAGATACGTTGGGATCAGGGAGCTCAGTGGAGATGTGCACTGCTTTATGCTTAGTAGTCTGTCTTGATAAAGATGGGAGATGGGGGGAATATCTGCCTTAATATTTTGTTTAAATAATTTGAACAAATCAGATTGTCTCTGTTAATCTTAGCTGTGGCAGGATATCCTCTCAGACAGGCTAATGAAGTATGAGTTGTGCATGTTTTCCTCATTTCCTACATACACTATTAAATTCCTAATGTACTAATGGAGTTTTAATGATACAATATCCTAGAACCTGTCAGGGGTTTCATCCACTGAACACTAGATTTCTGTGTCTCCCTTGGCTCAGTATTCTGCCTTCTCTCTTGAACTGGCATGCAGACTGAAGCCGTTTAAAACATCTATCCAATTTAAGAATTAATAATTGAATAATAAAGTCTCTTTTATGCTATAATGGCCTAATCCAGGGGACAGGTTGCTGGCTTTATGAGTCTGGAACTGCTTTTAAGCTCTAAACATCATGACATTTGTCAACATTTCATTGACTGCTTTAACTAACATTGTTGCGGTGAGATCACTCTTCAATGCTTCTCAGTTTTCTCCATGTACCATTTTCCCTAATATTATGCAGGAATGCTTTCCCTGTCTTGTTCAACCTCTCTTCTTTTGGATATGCGCTTGTATTTATGTTCTTCTGTCTTTCTGTTCCAGCTGTTTCACTCCTATCCTCCAGCTGTATCAGGTATTCCTCCCATGATTCCTCCAACTGGCCCCTTTGGCTCGCTACAGGGAGCATTTCAACCCAAGGTAAGAAAGGGAGTTACTGGTATAGCTGTTACTGCTCAAATACATGGATGTCATGAGCCAGGTTAGGTTTAGGGTTAGCATGTGGCTGAGATTCTGGAGCAGTGGACATCTTGAGTTACAACCTAATTCCACAGAGGACAACTGGGTTTTCCCAAACTTACTACAGAGAGGTTATTTCTCATTAGATTCAGATACTTTGAATCACAGAATCATAGAATGGTTTGGGTTGGAAGGGACCTTAAAACTCACCCAGTTCCAACCCCTGCCACAGGCAGGGACACCTTCCACTACAGCAGCTTGCTCCAAGTCCCTGTGTCCAACCTGGCCTTGAACACTGCCAGGGATGGGGCAGCCACAGCTTCTCCAGGCACCCTGTTCCAGCGCCTCAGCACCCTCACAGGGAAGAGCTTCTGCCTAAGAGCTCATCTCAGTCTCCCCTCTGGCAGGTTCAAGCCATTCTCCTTGGCCTGTCCCTGCAGGCCCTTGTCCAAAGCACCTCTCCGGGTTTCTTGTAACCCCTTTAGGCACTGGAGCTGCTCTAAGGTCTCCCCAGAGCCTTCTCTTCTCCAGACTGAACCAGTTCAGCTCTCTCAGCCTGACTCCAGAGCAGAGCTGCTCAGTATATCTACATACATTTTAAAAACTCTCCAGAATGGCATAGTTAACTTTAGAAGCAATATAATTAGTTCTCAGTGTGCATTAATGTAAGATCATGTAATAATCAAGATCTTAAGAACTCATGATCATTATTGTTTACTCATTTCCATAATTACCTCACAGCTCCACCACAATGCAAGACACTGATTTAGTTCTCTCATTTGTGGTAGCTGGGAGAGATAAATGTGATGAGCTTGGGTTTTTTCCCCTTTTGTTTTCATGAAGTCACTCTTGATTTATAAGTGGGAGGAAATCATACTCTGTCGTCTGTAGTCTTTGCAACTAAAAACTGAAATCAGGACTGAAATTTCTGCAGAGAAGACACCTTCTTTCTTAAATTGGCCCATCCACTGTAATGACTGAATATGTAAATTGCAGTTCATTAGTGGAATTCTTCGTATGTATGGTAATCAGACTGTTAACAACTCTGTTACTTAATTGTTAGTTACACTGGAGCTGATTTCTTTTTTCTTCATTTTAATGTAGGAAGAAGCTCTGTCTAAATGTAGGGTTTTGGTTGTTTTTTTTCCTCACAAAGCTGCATTTTGTTACATTAGCTGAATATTTACATTCAAATCATGGGAAAAGCTTTAATTTTGTCAACTGGATGTTGCTTTTTGCTGCTGTCTGTATGGTAACACTTCATTGTGGATGGAGCTCAGATCCTTGCACAGTGACTGAGGAGGCTGATGCTTTGTGTGCTGTCAGTCAGGTTAGCAGCTTTAGCCACTTCAGTGCAGTATCCATAAGGAGCAGAGCACAAGCTGGTCTTCCAAATACTGCTTTAGATGCCGTATCATAAATATGTTGCTTATCAGGTTTTTGGTAGTGGATTTTTCAGTGTTAACAGTCACTGTTCCCTCATGTGTTTTGAACTGAAGTAATGGGAAGTTGGTGGAGAATGAAAGTTTGAAAATGGAAATAATAATACGAAGTATATTATAATGATTATCCTCTTTCAAAAGTTTATCTTCATTGCTTAGGCAAATGTTAAAGTATCATTTTTCACTTCCTGCTGCTGTTACGTGTTGTGTTCCTCATTAATGTTGTCTTTCCTTGTGGTATTTCTAGACTTCCAATCCTATTGATGTTGCAGCCAGACCTGGAACTGTCCCACATACCCTTCTACAGAAAGATCCACGGGTCTGTATAAAATGTTATGTTTTTCTCAAGTAAAGCTCTTTCTCCTGAAAGCCTTTAATGCTGGAGCTGCCATCCTCAATATGTCCAAACTAATATCTTAAAACTAAAGCTTAGCCTGAACTGTTTAAGTCAGTGAGAAATAGAAAAGTTGTATGTGAGCAATTTAGGTTCTTCTGTTCGTCATTAGCAACAGCCAGTTGATGCTGTGCAGTGGAAGAGCTCTTCCCTTGCTGTCAGGAGGCACTCCCCAAGCCCAGGGGTAAAGGCATGAAAGTCCAATGTAGGAATGTATAAATTCTCTTCAGGATTTATGTTTGTACTCTCTAATTGTTTTGAACGTGGGTAACGACAGTTATTCTCTTGGTTACTGTATCATTGATTGCACCAGTGAAATGTGGATGCACTTTATTGATCACTTGGTGCCTCTGGATTTTCAAGTTCCAGCCTGTGTGAACAGCATTTATTGTCTCAGCACTAGGCCTCAGCTTTTTTCTGCTCTTCGTGAATGCCCGTGGGTTGTTTGTGTGTTTGAGTGAATGTACATTGTTTGTGATGAGGAACATCAGGCAGTTGTATTTTTAGCAGAAGTCTGACAAAAGCAATAGGAAGCTTTCCCTAAAAATCCCTGTTGTGGGTATGGCTGAACTTTGAAGCACAGCAGAGCAGTTTTCTTTGGGTGATGCCAAGTGTCAGTACTTTGGTTTGCTCATACTAAAAAACCCCAATTTTTGTTTGTTTTTTCTGTCTAATTGAAAAGATAATTGATTCATTGAGGTTTATGCTCCCTTGCAACTGGTAGTATAGTTTTGATTATTTCAAGCTGATGTATTGAGCCATTGCTGCATCTGCAAAGTACTTCTTACACCTATAAATCTCCTTTAGTATTGCATTTCAATAAAGAGAATCCAAAAGAAATGAGAAATAATTTTTAGTGTCTGTTTTGCCTTATTATTATGTACTTGATGCTACATGGAGTAAATGGGCTGCACTAATTACACAACGAGCTCGAATAGGAAATCCCAGTCGTCCAGGCATTCTAGAAGTCATCATGGACTGGCCAGAGGGCAAAGATTTTGGAATGTCACCAGAGGAGGAGGTGATGCGTGCTGAAGAGGCCCCACCATATAATCAGCTGTCAGAAAGTGAAAAGCAGTATGCCTTGTTTACTGATGGGTCCTGCCGTATTGTGGGAAAACATCGGAGATGGAAGGCAGCTGTATGGAATACCTCTTTGACAAGTTGCAGAAACTGCTGAAGGAGAGGGTGAATCGAGTCAGTTTGCTGAGGTGAAAGCCATCCAGCTGGCCCTGGACATTGCTGAACGAGAAAAGTGGCCAGTACTTTATCTCTATACTGACTCATGGATGGTGGCAAATGCCCTGTGGGGGTGGTTGCAGCAATGGAAGCAGAGCAACTGGCAACGCAGAGGTAAACCTATCTGGGCTGCTGCACTGTGGAAAGATATTGCTGCCCGGGTGCAAAACCTGGTGGTGAAGGTACGTCATGTAGATGCCCATGTACCCAAGAGTCGGGCCACTGAGGAACACCAGAACAACCAACAAGTGGATAAAGCTGCTAAGATTGAAGTGGCTCAGATGGACTTAGATTGGCAACATAAAAGTGAATTATTTTTGGCCCGGTGGGCCCATGACACTTCAGGCCATCAGGGCAGAGATGCAACATATAGATGGGCCCGTGATCGAGGGGTGGACTTAACAATGGTTGGGTTTTGGTGTGTGTGTGTTGGGTTTTTTGGTTGGGGGTGGTGGTATATGGGGAGGCCTGGCAGATTGATTATATCACACTGCCACCAACCGCCAAGGTAAGCGCCATGTGCTTACCATGGTGGAAGCAACCACCGGATGGCTGGAAACGTACGCTGTGCCCCATGCCACTGCCCGGAACACTATCCTGGGCCTTGAGAAACACATTTTGTGGCGACACGGCACCCCAGAGAGAATTGAGTCAGACAACGGGACTCATTTCCGGAATAACCTTGTAGACACTTGGGCCAAAGAGCATGGCATTGAGTGGGTATATCACATCCCCTACCATGCACCAGCCTCTGGGAAAATCGAAAGGTACAATGGGCTGTTAAAAACTACACTGAGAGCAATGGGTGGGGGAACTTTCAAGCATTGGGATACACACTTACCAAAGGCCACCTGGTTGGTCAACACTAGAGGATCTGCCAACAGAGCTGGCCCAGCCCAATCGGAACTTTTACATATTGTAGAGGGGGACAAAGTTCCTGTGGTGCATATGAAGAATTTGCTGGGGAAGGCAGTCTGGGTTATTCCTGCTTCAAGTAAAGGCAAACCCACTCGTGGGATTGCTTTTGCTCAGGGACCTGGATACACTTGGTGGGTAATGCAGGATGATGGGGAAGTCCGATGTGTACCTCAAGGGGATTTAATTTTAGGGGAAAACAGCCAATGAACTTAATTGTATGTTGTTGCCTGCTGTGTAATACTTTAATAGCCCATCAACCAGATGTCTTCAGGCCACCAGCAACTAGCCCTGACTTCCCTCCAACCATCATCCCAAGAGAGAACGAACTTTGACAGAACCAGACAAGTTCTACAGTAAGGGAATGATCAGCATCAGCAGGCAACGACCCGATACTGCACACGGCCTCTCCTGTTCTGAAAGACTGTTACAAGAGATGGCGCCTGACATCATGGACCAGATGGAATCAGCAGCTTTATAGGGACTAGTCTTTGCACTAAGATAGAAGTGCACTGAGATCGGAGTGATGGTATATTGAAAATGTAGGATCTGAGCATGACGTGAATGGTATGGAATAAGGGGTGGATAATGTCCTGGGTTTAGCAGCAGCAGTCATTTTTTCTCCTTCTTGGTAGCTGGTGCAGTGCTGTGTTTTGACTTTCGGGCTCGGAACAAAGCTGATAAAAATGATGTTTTGGTTTGGCCAAGGACTTTGTGAGTCTCATGCTCTGCCAGGGAGGAGGGGAGGCCGGGAGGAAGCAGAGACAGGACACCTGACCCAAACTGACCAAAGAGGTATTCCATACCACAGCACGTCATGCCGAGGGGGGAACTGGGGGGGAACCCGGAAGGAGAGGGGGTCGGCCGGGTCGGACTGGCGGTTCGGCGCGTGGTATTGTACTCCTTTCCTTTGCTGTTTTCTCTTATCATTGTTGTCGTTGGTGGTAGCAGTGGTGATTCGTATTGTACCTTAGTTACTAAACTGTTCTTATCTCAAGCCGTGGGAGTTGCATTTCTTTTTGATTCTCCTCTCCGTTCCCCCAGGAGTAGGGGGAGGGCAAGAAGGGGGGGGAGTGGGTAACAAGCTGTCTGGCTGTGGGTTAAACCACGACAATTTCTAATCCAGTTTTGCCCATTTCTAGAAAGTTTTAAGCTGTTTCTGGCCATTTCTAAGCAATTTCTGACCATTTCTAACCTAATTTTGCCCATTTCTAATTCGTTTTAACATATTTTTAAATGTTTGTAGCCAATTTTTTCTTCCTTCTAAGCTGTTTGAAGCCGTGAATTGGCTATTTCTAAACTTTTCTTGCTATTTCTATGCAAGTCTGTCCTCTGTCTAAAAATTTCAAAGCCATTTTTGGACATTTCCAACCAGTTTTGACATTACTAAAATATTTTAAGCCATTTTTGGCTATTTTTATCCCATTTTTGCATACCTCTATTCTTTGTTAACACTTCCTTGACTCTTTCTAACCCTGTTTTGCCCATTTCTAACTCGTTTTATGCCATTTTTACTATTTCAAACCCATTTTTACATCCTCCTAACTTGTTTGAAGCCTTCTTGACTATTTCTAAACCCAGTCTTGGCCATTTCTAACCCAGTTTTGTTCATTTCTAGGAAGTTTTATGCTGTTTCTGGCTATTTCTATACAATTTCTTACCATTTCTAACCTAATTTTGCTCATTTCTAATTCGTTTTTACATATTTTTAAATGTTTGTAACGAATTTTTTCTTCCTTCTAAGCTGTTTGAAGCCATGAATTGGCTATTTCTAAACTTTTTTGCCATTTCTATTCAATTTTGTCCAGTGTCTAAAATATTGACTCCATTTTCGGCCATTTCCAACCCAGTTTTGACATTACTAAAACAATTTAAGCCATTTTGGGCAATTTTTAACCCATTTTTGCATACCTCTATTCTTTGTTAACACTTCCTGGACTATTTGTAACCCTGTTTTGCCCATTTCTAACTCGTTTTAAGCCATTTTTACAATTTCTAACCCATTTTTACCTTTTCCTAACCTGTTTGAAGCCTTCTTGACTATTTCTAAACCCAGTCTTGGCCATTTCTAACCCAGTTTTGTTCATTTCTAGAAAATTTTAAGCTGTTTCTGGCCATTTCTAAGCAATTTCTGACCATTTCTAACCTAATTTTGCTCATTTCTAATTCGTTTTAACATATTTTTAAATGTTTGTAGCCAATTTTTTCTTCCTTCTAAGCTGTTTGAAGCCATGAATTGGCTATTTCTAAACTTTTTTTCCAATTCTATACAATTTTGTCCTCTGTGTAAAACTGTCAAAGACTTTTTCGGCCATTTCCAACCCAGTTTTGACATTACTAAAATATTTTAAGCCATTTTTGGCTATTTTTATCCCATTTTTGCATACCTCTATTCTTTGTTAACGCTTCCTTGACTCTTTCTAACCCTGTTTTGCCCATTTCTAACTCGTTTTATGCCATTTTTACTATTTCAAACCCATTTTTACATCCTCCTAACTTGTTTGAAGCCTTCTTGACTATTTCTAAACCCAGTCTTGGCCATTTCTAACCCAGTTTTGTTCATTTCTAGGAAGTTTTATGCTGTTTA